CATCTATAGCGGGGCAACAATGCCTTATCTAGGATACCAAACAGGCAAATCTCTGGGGAGCAGGAAAAGGGCATTGCAGCCAAGGTTGAAAACTGTCACCTAGTACCAAAAGTTCAGGGCATGACCACAGATGGACAAAGTTCGCTTGGGGTTGATGACAATGCAAACAATTTGTATGGGATAACGTATCCATTTTCTGCAGATGGGTGTTTGATGGTATTAGATATGTTTGGTAGTTAATATGCAGTTGAATGAGTTTGTTATTAACAGCAGAGATGGCTACAAATGGGAGTTCAAAATATCGTTCCAATCTTCAGACATCAGGGTTGGCATCAGAGTTTGCCACCTATCCCTAACTGCCAGAGAAGGTTTGCCTAGTTTAATGGGAGGGTTCTAGGAATGTTCCTAAATCTGTCCTCTACTGGAAAAAGTCATAGCTACTTTGGGACCAATTGGAAACAGTTTACCCTTCAGTCATTAGAGTAAAAACATTTCCCACCTTAAAAAAGGGGGTTGAATACCCCTTTATCGTGTTCTTATGTTCTGGACAAGTTTGCTTGCACATCATTTACTGACACTTATTTGAAGAGATAAAATCATACAGTTAAGGAGATCTATAAAACTCAGCATTCAATTTTATTTTATGACATTAGCATTGTAATAGAAATATAAAATATAATTATTGTTAACAATCCATTATAAGTATACTTGTAATTGTTCTTTCATATTGTGAGTGCTGCTAGTTTTCTATTCTTCTCTTTCTGAATTTTCTGTATGCGTATTACCATAGATAGTTTAAACTGCATTATTTACAATCTGAAACATGGAGCCTTGGGCTTGGTCGAGATCATGCAATAGAATTTAATTTTAAAAAAGGTTGTTATTGTGTAACTGTAATGTTAATTGATAAAATGACTTATTATTTTTGTTAAAATATTTTCTTCTTACTCTGCAATGCTCAGTGCTAAGTGTTTTTCGCCAAATTGTTACTACTTGCTTTCATCACTGCTGCAAAATATTGAGCATAAGCTTGAATTCTTGAAAACCTAAAATGAAATCTAGAGCAGCATCTTACTGACAGCCCAGTGTTGTACAAGCTAGAAATTGTTCTCCGTGAAAATAATTAATCTGTGTATTTAGACATTACTTCTACATAACCTCTTCATTCCGTTTAGCCTTTCTATTCATATGTCTTCTCCTTACCTTCTCTAGTGTATACCCAGGCTAAGTAGTGCTTGGGGACTCCCCAATTCAATTTGACAAATGTTGATCGATCCTGATTGGCCGCCAGGGTTCTATGCAATGCACATTAACCTGAACTATGGGAAGGCCCTCCCTCCTCCCCTTTCTCACTTCATCCCACGTCCAAGTAATGAGATGATGTCCCCCTCCTTCTTCTCTGCTGCCTTCACCTCTCACTTTATTTTAACTGCTGCTGATCGATTAGCTGTATGTGTTATGGATTAGCTGCTATAATAATATCACATACACTTCAGAAAAGTGTGAATGTGTGCTTTAAGGTGCTGAATAGAGCTACTGTGGCGTAAAACCATTATACATTCCTAAATGATGGAGTTTGCAATTCAATTTTTTGGATCAAGCAAAAAAAAAATACACAAGCCCACATTTAAAGGAGAATTATGCTCCATAACTCCATAAGAGTTGGTCGTTGTTAAATAATGCTACCATAATCTTTACTGTCCATCAATACCAATACAATGTTCTTTATATCAGTTTCAGAAATAAACTTGCTGATGGTAATGTTTCAAATTGTAATTGAGGTCATTCATTGTTGACATGTTCACTATTCTGCATTCAGGCCTATCTGATTCCTTTATAATGTTCTCTACCTGTGTAAATGTGTCTGTCTGTCTGTCTATTCTCTATCCATGGTCATGTGGTATGATTTCATCTACACAAAAGGCCTGCAGTATATTTTTCATTGAGTCTAAAAAATGTGAATCAGTTGTTAACAATGTAAGGTGTAATATTGACTGAAACATCATCCTCTTTTTTAAATTACGGACATTAATGCATGTGATAATAAACCTTGACATGGCATTGTAGTTCTTACATGGGATATCTGAAAGCACAGCTTGATGCATCAGGTCCCAAAGTATAAGGTTTTTTTTTTTTACCATAGACATCATGTTGATCCATATAGATGTTGCAAAGTTCCCAGATAACCCAAGGCAAGCTATAGTATTACCCTGGAATGACATGGCAGCTTTCAAAACATGTCTGGTTGGAATGGCTAAAACGAGTGTGTTGTTTTTTTAAGAGGCATAATATCACCAAGCCCTAGCATTATAATATCCGCCACCACAAGAATGATAGTATTCCATAACCAATATTATAATGTATAGCAACATAATATATCCCCCAGCCAGGGTCAAGGATAGACTATTTTGCACCGTAGGCAAGACAAGCTACTTGCACCTCACCCCTCTTTCAAAAGAAAATAAAATGTCAACATTTTTAAAAACAGTAGAAAATATTAAAACAGCCTGTAGCACGGGTGACACAGTCCCACCTGATATCCATGATGTTTTTCTGGACACTGGACTTTGTGTCATGCCCGGAAGGGGTCTGGGATCACAGAAACTCTGTATGTCCTGAGCATGAAGCCCTGACATCTGCTCTCCCATCCTTGGCATGTTGTAGGGAATGCCAGGTCTTCCTTTTTGAGGTGCTCCCAGTCGGGATGGGGGGACTCCATGTGACTACCTTGTACCCTGCCAAGACACAATGCACCACCATGGCAGAAATACTACAGGAAATGGTCAGAGACAGCAGACATACTATAGGAGATGCTCAGAGACTGCAGACATAGTACAGGAGATAACACAAAACATGTCCCATGGTGACACAAACAAGGACATATTTATAGTACAGCATGGAAGGGGTTGAACCTCTGACAATGTTTTTATGGCTGTTCCTATGCCAGGGTCAGGAATTGGGGGGGGGGGGGGTCTCCTTCCAGTGGTGTCACAGAAACAGGAAGTCTGTCTCCTGTGGTGACACACAGACAGGAATTTATGGGAAGACTCCTTCCAATGGTGTCACAGAAATACAAAGCTAGGGGAAGACTCTTTCTAGTGGTGTCACAGAAACAGGAAGTTTGTCTGCCGTGGTGTCGTAAGGACAGGAATTTATGGGAAGACTCCTTTTATTAGTGTCACAAAAAATACAAAGCGAGGGGAAGACTCCTTCCTGTGGTGTCACAGAAACAGGAAGTCTCCCTCCAGTGGGGTCATAGGGTTGTTGGAAAGTGAGGGGAAGACTCTCTCCATTGATGAAACAAGAAGTGAGGGGAAGTCTCCCTCCAATGGGGTCACAGGACCGGAAATCTGCCTCTGGTGGGAGCACAGGATGGGAAGTGAGGGGATGTAAAGACCAGACAATTTGCTCTCCACACTCTTGTCTAGAACAGATAAATATGAAGGTTGAATGTTATGCTGCAATGGTGACATGCTGAGCCCTGTGCTCCCCCAGCACCTGCCCCCCTCCTCCTGCACACTGATCCTGCATGTTCTCTCTGTGTTATGGGAGGACAGGAGGGTGGAAGGGATTGGTCCTCCTTATAATAGAGCAATCATCTCCTCTATACACAGATTCCCCCCCATACCTGTCTGGTGCACAAAGCCACAGAGGACCAACTACAGATTTGACTTCATCTGTTCACCTGACTGTCCACACACCACCGACACACCACCCCTACCAGTCGAAGGACCAAACAACCACCTCCTGACAGCACAGTCACAGTGCTGTATACAGCCACACTAAAACCACTTGAGCTGTCTCCTGGATGGACTGTGCTGTGCTGAGCTGCACCCTCATAAGGCTGTGCTCTAAACTCACCCACTCTTCACCCCTCCCAGGTACTTGTTGCTGGGAAGTCTAAGCAAATTCCAGGCACAGACTCCAGATGAATTGCTTGTTTGATCAATGCTGTGTAGCAAAAGTGGAGAGCAGTAGCGCTAGCTCAACCCACCTATGTATGTCCAGGCACAGATGGAGGATTAGGCAGTCTCTCAGCACAGGCTCTGGGTGGCTTTATAATGCAGTATAAAGCCGTCGTTATGTGAGAGGAGAGGGGAGCAAGGGTACTTGTAATCAAAGTGTTATGTTGTCATGTGTATGGCGGTACTGACTTACCCCTGTGGATGTGTATGCCGGTCCATACATTGAGTGCACGCAAGGCTTTAAAGGGACAGGTGCTGAGTCTTATAGAGCCTGCGGCTGAGGCTGCATCCTAGGCGATAATGCACCCCAGGCAACTGCCTAGTTTGCCTACCGGTTGCAAGAGCAGAATAGTCCTCCAGTCAGCAAGCATTATAATATGATCAAAATAATATCCAGTATCTCTTCCGCCAGTAGCACTATTATCATAGTATCATATCACCCAGCTGCTAGCAGCATTATAATATTAGCACTGTATTTTATCCGCTAGCCAGCAGCATAATAATGTATCCCTCCTGTCAATAACATAATAATATATATCCCCTAGCCAACTGCATTATATACAGTAGCATGATAATATACAATATTTCCTAGTCAGGAGTATGATAATGTACAGTGGCATAATGATTTGTTTTCTACCCAAGAGGGTTATTATCTACAGAAGCATAACAGCATATCTCACAGCCAGAAGTATTATCTATCTATCTATCTATCTATCTATCTATCTATCTATCTATCTATCTATCCTATCCTATCCTATCCTATACTACTTATACTTATCCTTTTTAAGCTTTTTATTGTGTGTTATGGTATTTTGGGTTGTTGTTAATTGTCTACACTTTATAAATTCACATTGACTACTGGATTAAAAACTTTTTCTTGCATCCTTCATAGATGTATCTTTTTCTTTTGTTCTTTAGATATGTAAAATTTTAAAGGTAGCATAAACATTATGTGACCATTATATTGTATTATAAACCTTTTAGAGAACTGCCTCATACAGTTAAATTTTTAGGCTTTTCATTACAAATCTAAGTATATGCATGCATGGATTGGAATATGGAAGATATATACAGTACAGGGGCGGACTGACAACTCATGGGGCCCCCGGGCAATAAGGGATCATGGGGCCCCTGTGTCCTTGCGCAAACTCAAAAAAGCCTATAAAAAGGTACCAGAGGCATCTCATGGGGCCCCCTACTGATCCCGGGCCCTCGGGCAGTGCCCGGGTTTCCAAATGGTCAGTCCGCCCCTGATAGAGTATATATTTAAGATGTACAACTTACTTGTGCTGCAATATATACATATATGCCTTTCCTCTGGGAAAGAAATTACAATGTCTAAAGTCAGTCAATCAATATGAATACTGTGGGGAAATAAGTGACGGACATTAATTCAAACTCTTATCAGTTTGGTACTCTTTCTTTTTTCCTACAACAAACCCAAGTGACAGCCAGAGACATTGTTGAACTTTCAATGACTTTGCTCATTAATCTCTTTTCTTTCACAAACTGCTCAGGCACTCATCACTGTTATGGTGCAACCATTGTGAGAGTCACTGTAGAACTCTGGAGATGACAAAATGATTATCATATGTGTCCAGCCCAGGGAAGGAAGGATAACTATTTAAACTTATGTGAAGAAAATAAAAAATAAAGACTGAAAACAAATTATTATCACAATGGACCTAGTTTATTACGAATAAAAAAATGAAGCAGATCTACGCAAAATCCTTTTAATGTTGGATTGCCTGCCAGTTACCATCTGTTTCAATGGGGTTCATTTATTGAAGCATTAGAGATGTTAATTTAGCAAGGTAAATGTTTACTTTACCTAGTGAACAAGGCGGAGCTCCATTTACCTTAGTCATTCAATCACATGCAAGCAAAATATATAGTATTTATATATATATATAAAATATTTAAAATTTCCCTTGCACATGGTTGGGTATGTAGCGTGAACCATCTATGCAAAAATGAACAAAATTGCATTCTGCATTTCGTTTATTTAGAGAACTGTAGCCTCCAGTTTTGAAAATGTGGTTTAATATACAGTGCAGTGAAAAAGTATTTGCCCCCTTCCTGGATTTTTATTTTTTTTGCATATTTGTCACACCTAAATTCTTCACATCATCAAACAAACTTAAATATTACACAGAGATAACCTAAGTAAATACAAAATGCAGTTTTTAAACAATGATGTAATTTATTAAGGGAAAAAAGCTGTCCAAACCTCCCTGGCCCTATGTGAAAAAGTAATCCCCCCTTGCTAAATCATGAAAGAATAGTGATTAACCCCAGTTTTTGGAAAGCTGAGGTAAATTTCACTTGCTACACCCCAGACCTGATTACAGCCAGACCTGTTGAATCAAGAAATCACTTAAATAGAAGCTGTCTGACAAAGCAAAGCATGTTAAAAGATCTCAAAAAGCAACACATCATGCCACAATCTAAAGAAATTCAAGAACAGATGAGAAACAAATAATTGACATGCATCAGTCTGGGAAGCGCTACAAAGCCATTTCTAGGGCTTTGGGACTCTGGCGAACAGTGGTATTCAGGTGTCTGCTATGTGCCTTTTTTATTAGCCAATACTTGTGATACTTATATTTATACACAAGTGAAACACAAATACATTTTTTGGGGATGAGAGTTTTTTTTTTTTTTTATGGTTGAGAAGTAAAATAGAAGTGAAACTAGAAAATGTATGCATTTTTTCAGTTGGTTCAATGATAATTTTAAAATCACTGTTAATATAGATATGAATACTAATTTGTCTTGTCTATCATAGCATCAAAATTGTTTTCTGGTACAAATTAAATTAGCATTTTTAATGCTTACACTACAAGCTGAAAACAAAAAAAAACGTAGGAACTATGTGTGGGATTATTGAAAAAGATCCCTTCAAAAAAGAGCAATGAAGTCGTTAATTAGGATAATAGGTTATAGACCGCAAGTGGCTAAAAAAAATTAGACATTAAGTTTAAAAAAATCAAAAAAACTGTTCCTCAGCTGCTGCAAGTTATGCCTTCTAAATACTTCTCCCTTGGAATGCCTTAAAGGGTAATTTCAATTTTGTGGGAAAAATATATATCAAATAAAAAAATATATATAACATATATTATTGCTATACAAGCCATATTATAATTTATTGTTATAAAAATTACTTTTCCTTTTCAATCTGCAGCACTGTAATTTTCTGTAAAATTGAATTCAATATGGCAACCTGGAGGCATTCTGTAGATTGCTGATGTACAGAATGCCTCCAAAAATGTAATTTCCTGCTTGTGTGATTGGCTCTCTAGTTTTCCTACAAGTCTGCACTAAGATACAAGTCAGATTTTAGGCCCCTGTAATAAAAAAAATTGTTTTGATGAGATACTCCTAAGGGTTGATTGCTTCTAAAAGGATGCAGACACTGCTGCTTTTTTTCATTAGAAAACTGATAGTGCACCTGCTAATTATAATAAACCAGACCCTCTTATTCAAAACTGGTATAGATTTAGTCTGTTGAAACAAACATTTATTTCTTCACATCAATCTACAACAAGGTTTAAAATCCCTGTGAAGTACATAAATCACCCAGAGGGGATTGTGTTTTTTCTCAACAAAAGTGGGGTATTCTTTAAAATACTATTTTCCCTCAGTGGAATATTGCTTGTCTCCCACTTGAGTGCTCTAAGCTATAAGTAATGGGCAAAAGTCTCATTTTAGGTGACCCTTTTCAGACTGGCGCTGCTGTCTCTGTAATGGAAACCTCTCCTCTGGTGTCCTTGTGCAGACTTGTAGAGTGGGTGTATCTGACTAAAGCCTGTCATAGATGGATCAAAATTCGGCCAGTTCAGCAGGAACTGGCCAAATTGTGATCCATCTATGGTCAGGCTGATTGTACTGATCTTGATTTGTTGATCAGCCTCAGTGCAACCATCCTGTCAGATTTTTTGGTGTGGTCACTACTATAGCTGCCAGCAGTGATCATTGTAACACTGACTGTGTTGATGAGGGAGTTAAGCTATTTTCTTTCCTTCAACCACAGAGCTATTTTCTTTCCTTCAACCTGTGGTTGAAGGAAAGAAAATTGTATAATGTATGATCTGCCTAAATCTGTTAGATTACAGAGCCTAGTTAAAATCTAGTGCCTCTTGAAATATATGGCCTGGAAAAGTCTGTTAGATTACAGAGCCTGGTCAAATTCTGGTGCCTCCTGAACAGCACAGTGCAATTTAGACACACCACACAAGTCCAGTGACTGAAAAGTAGGGGTAAGACTATGAAAATAAAAGTTGTTAGTACAATGTCTATCTATTTCTGTGACTTCATTTGGGCTTTAACTGGTTAATAATTCCTGAAATAAAACACTATTATCACATTTGATAATAAATTAACGCTTGAAATGTCACAATTAGCCTGGGGTATGTGATACTACAGCTCAATACATCAGAACCATTGGGTCCGAGCTTAGAGAGAATTAAAAAAGGGATACTCATTTACACTTACAGGGAGAAGAATAAAAGGAAAAGAAAATCTGAAAATGTTTCTCTTGCTTAACTATACGAAGTACACTAAATATTTTTATACATTATATTATCTTATAGAGACTATAATAACACCATGGATGTGAGTATTGGAGTTAATGCCACATAACGCTCAGGTTCAGATTTTTGGGGCAGTTTTTAATCTGATTAGTGTTTGAGGGGAGTAACTCTAGTTATTAATAATAACACAGTAAAAAATCCAGGTTTTTTAAATTAAAACTATACTTTTCCATTCAAGACAAAACATCAGGGTGCTTAAGCAGCTCATAGATGATTCAGTGTTTTTTGATCAACCAGCAAGTCGATGGGGAATCAGTCCTCCAGAACTATTGTGTTCTGAGGGCAGGGAGACTTCCCTGCCTTGAGAATACACTGATCAGTGCTGTTGACTATAGCTGGTGGTGTTGATCGGATGGCATTTATCCAACAGGCTGGTTGAACAGACATCGATTGGTAGATCCATTTCTGTGCAACCACTGTCCCCATACATGGATCGAAATTTGGCCCATCTCTGCTGAACCAGCCAAATATCGATCCATGTATAGCTGGCTTTATGCTCATACACACAGCCTTATTGCTTAAAGCGGAGCTGGTCCCCTGCTCCCCATTAAGGATTGGCACCTTTGGGGAGTGAGTACCCGAAAATTGACAGGTACCTACTCCCACTTCTGCTGCGATTGCCTAGACAGAAGTTGTCCTCCTATTCTCCCTCTCCATAGTCTTCTGGGACACATGACAGGTCCCAGAAGACGACGGGCCATTCAGGAATGCACAGTGGGCACCCGGCTGTGAAGCCGCAAGGTGTCACAGCCAGGTGCCCACACTGAAGATGCCGGCACCTGGAACACCAGACAGCTGGTGAAACAGGCTGCGGGGAGGACACCGTGGGACAGGTAAGTGACTGTTTTTTAAAAGTCAGCAGCTACACTTTTTGTAGCTGCTGACTTTTATTTTTTCACAGTGCAACTGGAACTCCGTTTTAAATTCTGGCATAGTTTCCTGCCAGGGAGCCCACAGGTGCTGTATACAACCTCCTGTAGAAGTCAATAGCTGTACGTGGGGAGTAAAAATACAAAAAGTATAAGCTTCTGTGGAGGTCGGTATTAATGAGAACCTGTTTCTATGCCCCACATGACACATTCACTTTAACTTTAAGTGGTTGTAAAGGTTCAGGGTTTTTTAAGGTAAAAAACTGTCTGTGTGCAGCATCACCCCCAGCCCCCTCAATACTCATCTAAGCCCCCTCTTGATCTAGCAATGTATACTGTAATCTCAGCTATCCCAGGACTCCCTCTTCTCATTGGCTGAGACAGAGGTGGGAGGCATTGGCTCTCACTGCTGTCAATCATAGCCAGTGTGCCAAGAAGAACAAAGGGGGTGGGGCTGAGCCGAGGCTCCATGTGTGAATGGACACACGAATCAGTGAGTGCCCCCATAGCAAGCTGCTTGCTGTGGGGGCACCCAACAGGAGAAAGGGGCCAGGAGAGCCTGCGGGGACCCGAGAAGTGGAGGATTCAGGCTGCTCTGTGCAAAACAACTGCACACAGCAGGTAA